TGCCCACTAGAGATGAACGGATATTACTATTCTGGCTGATATTGATAAGCTGATATTCATTTTCATGTTATAGCCAATAACCAATAAAAGGGTATATAATTAAATTCTGTATTTTCTTTAAAGGAAAAGTAAAATACTAGAGACTAAAATCAATCCATCCATTAATTGTTCAAATTTAAACAGTAGCTGTCAGAAAAACATCAGAAATTTGACAGATTTATTCAAACATACATAAAATAAGACATCACTAATGGGTTAAATAACAATACAATAAATATGTAATATAGTGCATATTTACAAATGTAAAAAAAAAATGTGTGTGTGTGTATTTGATTAACAAATTTATGGACATTGAATTGCTTTCCTGAGGTAAATGTAATGTTATGTGACTTTTTTTATTTTTTACAATCTGTTTTATTGATGTTTAAAAACTAAAATTAATTGTTTAAAATACAAGTGAATTTAGGCATTACAACATAATAATGTACAGTGTGGAAAATGGATGTTTATTTTGAGATTTGCTAAACATTTAATGGTGTAATTAAATTATTAGTGTTTGAAAGGTTAACTTTAAGTGATTTAATGCAAGATGGTTCCTTCAAAAACATAAAAAAATCTTACTGACCCCAAACTTTTGAATGGTAGTATACATTAGATATATTTTTTCAATATTTTAGTCTGTCAAAATTCAGATTTTTTTTTTTCCTTTTTCGTTTCTGTCTTACTTTTCTGTTGCACTCCGTCAGTGCAGAAAGCCTGTCAGGCCTGAAGCCGATTATTCTCAACAAAAAGAAACTTGAGCTATATAAGACTGTCTCTTGTAGTTGCAGCTTTTGTGTGTTGTGTTTCTTAATACCGTTTGCACTGCATTAAGATTCAAACATGTTGAGAGGTTTAGAGCTCCAGTGAAAGGAAATGGTCTAGGCCTTCGGTTAGCTATGAATGAGGTGTCCAGATTACTGAACTGCACAAAGCAATGTGGGTGAAAGTTGTCTTACATAATCATATTCTCAGAGTACAAAGACATCATTTTCCATTAGTAGAGCAATGCCAAATCAAAGTTAATGAACACATCGAGCAAAAAACCAAACCGCAAACACAAGTACAACTGCAAAGTCATGCGGTGTGGCCTACCAAAAGGTAGGCTGTTGTTTAACTTAAATTCAGCAGGGATAAAATGATAAACAACAGAAGAAAAGTTGCTTACTTTTGTTAGCCTACCATATAAGCACAGATATGATTGAATTTGCCTTGACAGTAGCTGTGAAGAAGTGACAGCCGAATAAAGCAAGCTGTTGCTGTAATCATATCATTAGTGTTTGCAGTTGTTTTTTTTCCCAGGGCACATTCAGTTGCAGGCCAGCCAGAATGCAGACTACCAAGACGACTATAATTGGGTAATGATTAGTTAGTTCTCTCTCCAAAAACCAACAATGACTGGAGGGCCACAGCTGTTTTTCCTAAAAGCAGTATTTTGCACAAAAACCCCTGCTGAGCATTTGAGTGTTTGTGCCAGTGAGTTTGCAGCTATAGTTTAGTTTGTTTATTAGTGAAGGAATATATTTAGGTTGTTTTTTATATTTTGTTATCAGTGACCACCCTGTAGAGAAAGCAGTCATTTGTCAATGACCAAACAAGAGTGTCCACGATAAAGAAAAGGAAACTGCTTTTAAAATGTTTTGTTTAAAACGCATGTGAAACTACTTTTCATTTCATGGCTTTCATTCTTTTAATTAAAAAAATCTAATCAAATTTGTTTTCTTCATTATGAGATAAGGACAAATCACTTTCTAGACATTTTTGCCTAGTTAAACAATCTCTTGGACATTTTGGAGATGCCGCTCAAATGAAAATGAAATAAATTTTAATCCTGAAATGAAACAAAAAGGTCACTAGACGAGGTGTTTTAAAGTCATTGTTTAAATTGCATTTATAATGTATTTCTGAATAAATAAATAGATCCGGACAAAAACAATGGTGTCGTGATGTCACCTATGAAGACAACCAGACAATGTACAGAAAATTAATTCTGTCCATGGTTCAGATGTATTGTCAATAGAGACTGATGAATTATAATCATGCATAATTGAAAGTAGGAGTGTCAGTATGTGTAAAACAGTCTTTTAAATTTGTACTTGACAAAGAAATCGTAGTCTAAAGTTGCAAATAAAATAATCTTAATTTTGTTCTTTTTAATTATGCTGTATTACAGAAACAACCTAACCCTTTACTATTTGTTTAGTAACCATGGTAATTTCACAGCAAATAAAGCAATAAGCCCCAAGAAGCCGTGGTTTACAGTATATTTATAACAGCTAAGGGGCGTTGTTAGGCACGACGCGAAGTGGAGTGCCTAAAACCCCCTTAGCTGTTATAAATTCACTGTAAACCACGGCTTCACGGGGCTTATTGCTTTTATAAAACTGTTATTCCATATACGTAGTAAGGTTTCACAGAATAAAACAGAGCAAATAAAGTGTAATGATATAAATAAAAACAGTATTCTTCCACCAAACAATGTAGTTCCTCAGAAACAGTTGTGGTTCCAACAAAGTGGTTGCCGAGCAACACACAGAAGTAAACAAAGGTGTATGTTTGTAGTGTAAAGCCCCGTTCACACCAAGAATGATAACTATAAAGATAACGATATTAGCATCCACACCAGTGAACGATATCGTCTGTTTATTCTAAGCGCACGCACGTCTGCCGCTTTAAATTCTTGATCTCGTTACAGCAGGATGGATTCTGATTGGCTGTCAATTTTTTATCGTTCATCAGCTGGAGAAAAATCATTTTGAAAGTGATTCCAACGATATCGTTTCTCTGTGCCTTTATCGTTATAGTTGTGGTGTGTACTCTGCTATTCTTTAATATTGGGAATGATTTTTAGAACTATATCTTTATCGTTATCTTTATAGTTATCGTCCTTGGTGTAAACAGGCCTTAATTTACAACAGCTTCGAACTGTTCAACCAATCAGAATCAAGGACCGGAACTATCCGTTTTATAAAAGAACTTTTAATTCAAGAATTAAGTTAGGAAGTTTCTGTAATGCGTCCCCAGGAAAGCAAAGATATAACATGGATTAAGAGTAAAACATGGATTCACGTCCGTGTCATGTTAAATGTGCGAGATGAGGAAAGATTGAGGGCGGAAGAGGCAGGCTTCATGTCCGTAAGAGGGAAAAGCGAGCAAAGTTCCATGTTTAACGTGCAGTGGAAAAGTGGAATGTGCTGACATGGCACTTCGTCTGAACTCCAAAATTAATAATCAGACGTGGTTTAGCCTTGCACTGCCAGGAGGCGAAGGCAGCCAAACTCTGGCCCCTTTGTGGTGGGCCTGAAAAGGAGGGTCTGGCACATGGCCAGTGGGGTTTTGCTTGTTCAGGATTTTTGATTAAATCGTTTATTGTGCTCCACTCACGCAAATGACCAAGGCAGCTCTTGCTCTAGAAGGGGTAGAATAAGACAGGAGGAAACGTTCATAGTTTTTTTCACCAGTAAAAAGCTTTTGTATGATAAAGAAATTTTTTTTTTTCTTTGTTTTCTTTGTGTAGCTCCATCCATTTAGTTTTTCCTATTATCTTTTACTATGTAATTTTGTAATGCGTTCAAACGTCTACTTAGATATTTTGGTTCGTTTTTGTGTTTAAGTGTTTTATATGAATGCAAGAGGTATTCAAAGGGTTTTAACCAATAGAACAAGCAAGAAACCATATGCAAATATACATCCCAAAGCCATCACTCTACCTAAGACAGAGACGTGGCCTGCGTTGAGTTCAGCACTGGCTCTGAGGAGCAAAAATACCCCGATTTTATAGAAGAGCCTTCTCATTACATCACGTCAACAGCCTTCTGCGCTAGACAGTTGCTGCTTTTGGCAGCTTTAGTATTCCACGAAGGACTGCACATTTAGCACTATATTTAAAAAAGGTAACCGGCAAGTCAAAGTCAAATTTAAAACATTGGCCTCGGGACAGTGAGTCACAACAGTAGGTAGAGAAGGCTGCAGTCTTGCAAACCACAATTCAAAAATGACAATGAAGAGTGCCAGAGTAAATGCTGGTGTTAAGAAACATTTTACTTCAGATTTGGATTTTACATTATATAGGGCACTCATTTCATTTAGAAAATAAATTTAATCCTATGGTATCCTAATGACATTATGCTCTTTTTTTTTGGTCTGAGTCTATTATTGTGATAACTGTAATTAGAAATGCATTAAATATGCAAATCATTCACACCGTGAAATGAATACACTTCTTATATAATAAACATGCTTTTAATTTTTGAATTAAAATTAGTTTTGATCATTTCTAAAAAACAGTGATACAACTGTCCTGTTATCATATTGAAGATAAAACCTTATGAAAAGAAAACCATATTAGATAGTTTGGCATAATCTTGTATTATTTCCTAGGAAAAAAAAAAACATTCTTAGCTACTTATTAATATTTGAAAAACGTTTGCCTGCCAAATCAAAGCTATGTTGCGTAGACAAAACGCAGGGAAATTAAACAAACAACAGGAAGTGATAGCAGAGAGGGGACCCCTGCAGACCCTCATGACTGTCAAAGTCAATAAGTCTCTTAAAGTATCAGATAATTTGAGCTTTTTATCACAAAGCAAAAGTTTGTTGCAAGTTGTAAAATGTCATGTGTGCTGTGATTCCCCAAAACCGATTATTTTTGACTTAATGTAAACAGACTTCTTTAAAAATATATTTAAAAACTTAAATGTCAGTTATATTCACATGTAATCAAGGTGTAAGAAAAATGTTACCACCTTTTACTTGATGTTTACACCATGTTTATGTAATTTAATTTAAACGTCTGTTTAAAAAAAATAAATAAATAGTATAATAGTTTTTGAAAGGCTTTTCCTTTTCTATCTTGGACACTCTTATTTGTACGAAAAGTTCAGAGAATGATACATTTTTGTAGTTGTTATAAGCAGAGGTTTGAGGGAAATTGTCTTTTTCTTTTCTCTCTGCCATTTCAGTTGCTCCAGTCCTGGACTTGACCAAACAGTTCACACACCCGGAAACAACTGCTCCTAATCTTATGAAGTTGGTCGAAGCAATTGAGCGGACAGGTAATACTTTTGTGTCACTGAATGTCATGTAAGGGGCTTTATTGTTTGTGGTTTGTTTGTTAGAGAGCCTGACACATGATACGGAGCGCAAATCCAGAGCGAGCAGGAATCCCTGCAGAGCGCCTCCAGCCACAAGAAGGAACGAAAATATAAATGCATTGAAATTATCTGTTTTTTAAAATGATTTTATTTTTGAATAGATATTTCCACATTGAAAATAATATTGAAACCCGAGGTGTGAAATGTTTCTTATTAGACCATATGGCAGTTATTAACATCCAGATTTCCTCTTTCACTGTAAGCCATCCCTCTCTTTCTCCCTTGAGCGAGAGACTGAGCGACGCTCGGACTGTCTGGCTCGACTGAAGCCGTCTTCTCACTTCTTCACAGACTAAAGCGAGGCTCAGGGATTCAGCTGGGCTGTTTTCCCAGTTCTCCCGATAGCGTGACTGGATATATTTATATCTCTGGGCTTTTACATTTAATGTTTATATGTAACTGCTCCTCTAATCCAAGCTGGCATGGAAGATCTATTTTTGAGAGATGAGCTAACGCCTCAATTTTCTGCTAGGTCTGGACTCCAGGACACTATACAGGACATCCACTGCTTCAGCCTCTGACAGACAGAGCCCTGCTGGTAAGTTTAATCGCAGTTCTCATCCTTTGCCACATAGGTATGCACTACCTGTGCAGGAGAAGACAGTTGGCTGTCTTTTTGATTTTGATTGTTTTAATGTTTTGTGTGTTATTCTTAGTAGCTGTAAGTCTTTCTGTTCTGCTCATTTTAGTCTAGATATCAGCTTGCGTACATTGCTTAAATATCTATCTATCTATCTATCTATCTGTCGTCTGTCTGTCTGTCTGTCTGTCCTCTATCTATCTATCTATCTATCTGTCATCTATATATCTATCTGTCTATCTATCTGTCATCTGTCTATCTATCTATCTGTCATCTATCTATCTATCTATCTGTCTGTCTGTCTGTCTTCTGTCTATCTATCTATCTATCTATCTGTCTGTCTTCTATCTGTCTATCTGTCTATCTATCTATCTATCTGTCTGTCTTCTATCTGTCTATCTATCTATCTATCTATCTATCTGTCATCTTTCTATCTATCTATCTATCTATCTATCTGTCATCTATCTATCTATCTGTCTATCTATCTGTCTATCTATCTGTCTGTCTGTCTGTCTATCATAGTATAAAATGAAATAAATGTATTTAAAAATAGATTTAAGTAATAAATATATATTTTATCATAATATAAAATATAAGCATTATTGTTTAAATAATCCTAAATAGAAAAATAATTACTTATTTAAATCTGTCTATCAATCTATATATCAAGAAATTAATAAATACATGTCTCTATTTAAAAATATATATTTTATTGTATGTAATATTTATTGTATCATATAAAATATAAGCATTATTGTTTAAATAATTCTGGATATGAAATAAGTGTAATTATCCGTCTATCAATCTGTATATCAAGAAAGTAATACATACGTTTTTAAATATCTATCTATCTATCTATCTATCTTTAATTTTACATCATAACGTTTGTGTAATTATTTAAAATATTTTAAAACATTACTTCCAAGTTTAAATTTGACTTTGAAGATTAGATTTTAAATTAGATTAATGAAGTCTCAGGCTTTTGGATTCCACTGTATATACTATAAAAAAAAAAAACAATGTGATAAGTAGGACTGGTACGGCAAAGTAAAATGTGGTTAATGGTTAGATAATGTTTACCGGCGATTTGCTATTTGGTTACCATAAGTTCCAGCATATTTCTGTAACTCTGTTTGAAATGGATGTTTTGGATTAGATAATGTGTATCTTGCTGTGACTGGTCATTTATAATATGTGCATCATGATGAGACCAGTCATTTGTCGTTGTGCAGAGCTGCAGGAGTTGGACGTGGGACAGTGGGACATTCATGCACTCTCGGAGGCTCTCGTTCGGTACCTGCAGGAACTTCCTGCCCCCATCATCCCTCCCTCTGTTTATACAGACCTTCAGGCAGCAGTGCAACTAGAATCAGGTATGTGCTACTTTTCACTCATCAGTGCAGGCCGAAGGAGCACCGTGTGTAGAAAGTAACAGAACTCAGCGAGCAAACAGCTCAGAGTGTCTGCCATGTGTCTTTGCCTGAGCATGTCATTCATGAATAGACGTTTCCTCCGTGAGGAGACAAGAGCAGCTGCTGCAGGTACTGGAGAAGCCTGAAGTTCCACTGCAGAACCTTCTGACGCTGCATTATTTGCTCAAACACCTGGAGAAGGTCTGCCAGCGCGCTGCGCAGAACGGCCTCGACATTCACACCCTCGGCCAAATCTTTGGCCCTCTGTTGATCAGGGACCCTGTGAGCGGGTGAGCGGGATGTTTCTTTTCTTTTATTTCTATTGGCTGGAGACAAATTCTGGAAATCCATTACTGTAGCAGTAATGGATAGGATAAGTAGCGTCTGTGCAAACCATCTTCATTTCTGTGTGTTTGATTTACAGGTCAGAGGAAGATGAGGGGTTTCCCGTGATTGCAGTTGAGAGACTTCTTTTGGAGAGAATTTGGGAACAAGAGCCGACTCCTCCCGGTGAGTCACATGTGTCATTTTTGCTATTGTGTATAATAGCTAAGCTTTTTTCATTCTCAGATTAGACTGTTTTCAGGGTGGATTTACCCGGGTAATCTGTGTTTTCAAATCTTTCAAACCATGCCAATCATGATCTGATACCCTTGTGAAAGACCCCTGTCTTAAAATAGAAATGTAGCGCAATATAGATCCTTTTATATTCTCTCCAAAACAGTAAGAGTGATATGAAAGTAGTTGTTTTTCCAATTTTAAGTAATTGGCTTTAAAGCCAAAGCTAATGATTAAGAGACTATCTGGAAATTATTTACTTTATTTACTAAGCTGACAGTGTATTTTCACTTGCTTTTATTTATGTCTGTAAACCTAAAGATAAATATTTTCAGTTAAATAAATTTATATAATGCTTTTCACAGTAAAATTTTTCTTGTTGAAGTTAAAAGCAACTGTGGTCAAGAATCTCCCTATGGATGCAGCCTTGGTTACACTTCAGTAAACAATTTTATATCAGTTTTTCCATGTTTATGTAGCTGCATATTTTATTAATTTATTTATTTTGCAGTACTGCCCGCTTTCATTATAAGTGTATTTACAGGTAACATGCCTATTTGTTACCCTGAGGAATGCGTTTAAATATTGTGGTAATCGATAATGCCACAGATGCAGTATATGTCTAATAAGATGGAAAAACCCAGAATATTCAGCTCTAAATTTTTATATGGATGTGTGTATACTATCATTGAAAAATGTGGGGTTAGTAAGAATTCTTTTAAAGTAATTAATGCTTTCATTTAGCAAGGATGCATTGTTGATCAAAAGTGACCTAATATAATGTTACAAAGGATTTATAATATTATAAAAGATATATAATTCTCCAAAGAATCCTGAAAAAATGTCATGGTTTTCACAAAAATATTAAATGTTTCTTGCGCAACAAATCAGCATATTAGAATGATTTCTGAAGGATTATCGGACACAGAAGACTGGAGTAATGATTCTGAAAATTCAGTAAACACATTTTACAATACATTAAAACGGTTATTTTGAGTTGTAATAATATTTCACAATATGACTGCTAATAAATATAACAATAAATGCAGCCTTGTTGAGCTTAAACATTTTATTTCAATAACACACAATCTTTTTGACCCATTAAAAAATGCAGTATGGATTTGCATTTTTTTTTTTTTTTAATACCAAAAAAGCTTTATCTTCCCTGTAGTGTAGACTTAAACTCTACTACAGAAGTGAAAACTTCATGTTGTTGTTTAATATCCAGGCTAGTAACTGAAAAGGTTGCAGGGCTGATCCCTGAGCGATCACCATTACGCCCTTGAGCAAGACAGGTGGCTCCAGAGACACTGTGCCTGTAATATAATGTTGCACGTTTCTATAGTGACGAAGCATGAAAGTCGTGAAAGCAAATGTTGGCCCCAGTCGTGTGGGGATAAATAAAAATGTATTTATTTTAATCATAAATATTTGTATCTTATTTGCCTTGTTTATCCAGCTCTCCCTCCTAAACCGCCCAAAGCCAAAGCCATGGCCTCATCTGTGACCAATGGAAACAACAGCTTACTGAGTGAAGCTGAATGGTACTGGGGAGACATTTCAAGGTAAATCACTGACAAAATTACCTATACAGCTGTAATTAAGATTGTCACACATTTCTGTATATGATGAATCTGTATTTGATGCCCGTGGTTTTAGAGAGGAGGTGAATGAGAAGTTGAGAGACACTCCTGATGGTACGTTCCTGGTGCGGGACGCATCAAGCAAAGTCCAGGGAGAGTATACCTTGACCCTCAGGTGAGCGCCTCCTCAGACCAAACAGTGGTTCGTGTGATATCTAATAGGAGATGAATACTTTGCGTAGGTGTGCTGCTGTATCATTCGTTTGATATGCATCATTACCAAGAGAAATTTCTAACAGAGACAAGACATGATCAAAGCCTTGTGTTGTTTATTCCAGGAAAGGAGGCAATAACAAACTGATCAAGATTTTTCACCGCGGGGGGAAGTATGGCTTCTCAGAGCCTCTTACTTTTCTCTCTGTGGTGGAGCTCATCAACCACTACCGGCATGAGTCGCTGGCCCAATACAACGCCAAGCTGGACACTCGCCTGCTCTTCCCTGTGTCTAAATATCAGCAGGTATGATCCTCCATTCTGATCAAACTGATGGCACAGTCTTTATGTTAAAGTGGTAGTTCATGAAAAAAGTATTTGTCTTTATTTACTCACCCTTATATTCCAAAATGATTTTTTTAAGAATCTTCACATGGAACTTTTTCCATACAATGTCAGATCATAGTGATCACAAACTTTCAGTGTCCAAAAAAACAAAAAAAACAAATCATCAAAATGTCTTGAGACTTCTGCATCCATTCTCATTCCCTTCATCTAGCTGTTTTTGAACCCAATGATGTATCTTAATGTAAATGCCCCTTAAAGGGATAGTTCACCCAAAATATAAAAAAAATGCTCTTAATTTGCTCACCCTCAGGTGAGATGTTTAGCTAAAACCATCCCAGCTAACAAAAATACATAACTGTTACGTAACTGCGACGTAATCTGGTGACCAAAGTTACATCGTAACTTTGTGACGTCGTGGCAATGTCGTAGATCAATAGTTGTGTGCTGGTAATGAGTTGGTAATTTTTACAACTATTTATTTTCTATGGGTGGACATGCAGTAGTTTAACCTAATTTGTGACCCTGGATCACAAAACCAGTCTTAAGAAATTGAAATGTATACATCATCTGAAAACTGAATAAATAAGGTTTCCATTGATGTATGGATGTTAGGATCGGACAATATTTGGCCGAGATACAACTATTTGAAAATCTGGAATCTGAGGGTGCAAAAAAATCGAAATACTAAGAAAATCGCCTTTATTTTGACCCATACAATGTATTTTTGGTTATTGCTGCAAATATTCCCCAGCGACTTAAGACTGGTTTTGTGCTCCAGGGTCACATTTATGTCCTCATTTGTCCAAACTAATTTAAAGGCTGTTTCAACAGCTGTGAATGATGAATACAGACACGAAATGAATTAAGGTCATTTATTTCCAAAAATGCACAAATATGAACAATAAAATACACCCAAATTATTAATAAAAACATAGGAAATACAGCATTCAGGACGTTCCGTGCTCAACATCATTATAAACAGATATGCTATGCTAGCAACATTTGCTAGGAGACATTTCAGATAATTAAGGAAAGATACATTGACTCACATTGACTCCATTGTGAAAAAGGCCCAGCAGAGGTTGTACTTTCTTCGCCAGCTGAGGAAGTTCAACCTGCCACAGGAGCTGCTGAAACAGTTCTACTCTGCTATTGACTGTGAAACAGTGGACTTTAATTATATGCATTTATCTGACGCAGTTGTTGAACTGTTGTCAATCCATGTTAATTTTTACCGCGAATAATGCGCTGTCACTTTAATTCAGTGCGTGCAGCAGGGCAGAAATAGACTCCGTGCGGAAACGATAGCAGCATGACTGCTGCAGATGCACCGCTCCTGGAGCGCACTGCCGGACCGCAATCGCGTGCAGTGTGAACGCTCTGATCCGTTAACATGGGCGCGGAAAAAATACGCACCACAGACGGAGTGTGTGAACCTGGCGTTACGTTTGTATGCCCGCCCAGTCTGTTCAGTTCTCCATGCTCTATTTAGGCGCGCTGCATTCCGATTTAGAAATCGCGCACGCTCAAATCACGATTTTATGATGATTTCGATTAATCGCACAGCCCTACTTAGTGGAAGTTGCTTCTCTGATGTTTAAATGGTAATTGCTGTGTGAAATACAGAGTTCTGGTATGAAACTCTAGATGGCGCAGTCCGATAGGTCTAACTCAGTCTGACCTAATGACATCATTATCACATGGCACAGCTGATTGGTTCTCTCCTGTATCGGTAGCCAATGAGCTCGCTGCTCAACATTCAAATATATGACTAGTGCTTGCCGTAGCAGTTGCAGCTTGCTTCAGAAACCCTCCACCTTCCCCAGCTCCACCTGTATAGATCTGCTACGAGGTGATTCATGTATGCTATATGGGGGTTATTTCATGTATGTTATATTTGCAGCAGCAATATTTCTTACATGCTCACAGCAGCATGTTGTGGATGTATTGGCAGTAGCAAGTCTCGGTACTTGCTCTGCCGCAGCAGCAACAGCAGCAGCAGCGTAGCAGATGTATTCCGCCAAGACCAAATACATTAACATTGCCATGTACAGTACCATGCCAATCCCTCCGAGAGTTGTCATGACAGAAATACAGTTTTGCATATCTCTTGCATATCTCTAGTCAACTTGAGGATGAGTAAATAATGAATTTTCATTTTGGGGTGAATAAGGCTTGTGAACACATCTTGTGCTCTGCAGGATCAGGTGGTGAAAGAGGACAGTGTCGAGGCAGTAGGAGAGCAGCTGAAGGTTTATCATGAGCAGTATCAGGAGAAGAGTCGTGAATATGATGTACTGTATGAAGAATACACACGCACATCACAAGTAGGTTGCATTTCATCTCTCCTGCCTATGCATTTGGATCTAATTAACAGTCACTTACGGAGATGATCTGTACGATCTCTCTCAGGAGCTGCAGATGAAACGAACAGCCATAGAGGCCTTTAATGAGACCATAAAGATCTTTGAGGAGCAGTGTGAAACCCAGGAGCGCCTCAGCAGAGAAAGCATTGAGAAGTATCGCCGAGAAGGCAACGACAAGGAGATTGAGAGGTACTTTTGTCTTTCATTACACATCAGAGCACTATAATGCAAAAGATGTGTCCCATAACTCCTTGGCGTTAATTTGAATCGGAGTCATGTTTTGACTTATATATAAGTGGGAAACCTTTTTTTACTGTCTATTCAGAATTCAGAGCAACTCTGAGAAGCTGAAATCCAGAGTGACAGAGATTCATGACAGCAAGAGTAAGTTGGAACTGGACTTGAAGCGACAAGCCACAGACAATCGAGAGATAGACAAGAGGATGAACAGCTTGAAACCAGACCTCATACAGCTGAGGAAGATAAGGGACCAATATCTTGTGTAAGAACACCTCCAATATATGTAAACTATAATATTTCAGATTTTAATGTTTTAACAATTCACTTTATAATGTAAATTTTTTAAATTTAAATTAAAATATATTTATTTACAAAACTGATATGTTGCAAATGTGTTGTCATATGAGCAACCATGTTATTGCATTTTAAAATACTTTTTGTTTTAATGTATTTATTCCTGTGATGGCAAAGCTAAATTTTCAGCAGCCATTACTCCAGTCTTCAGTGTCACATGATCCTTTTAGAAATCATTCTAATATGCCGATTTGGTGCACGTAAGAACACCTCCAATATATGTAAACTATAATATTTCAGATTTTAATGTTTTAACAATTCACTTTATAATGTAAATTTTTTAAATTTAAATTAAAATATATTTATTTACAAAACTGATATGTTGCAAATGTGTTGTCATATGAGCAACCATGTTATTGCATTTTAAAATACTTTTTGTTTTAATGTATTTATTCCTGTGATGGCAAAGCTAAATTTTCAGCAGCCATTACTCCAGTCTTCAGTGTCACATGATCCTTTTAGAAATCATTCTAATATGCCGATTTGGTGCACAAGAAACATTTCTTATTATTATCAATGTCGAAAACAGTTGTGCTGTCTAATATTTTTGTGGAAACCATGATGCATTTTTTAGGATTATTTGATGAATGGGAAGTTCAAAAGAACACCATTTAATGGAGTACAAGAAAGACATTTATAATGTTACAAAAAAATTCTGCAACATATGATCTATTTAATGAACCCTTGATAAATAAAAGTATTAATTCTTTCAACAACCAAAAAAACGTACCGACCCCAAATTTCTGAACGGTAGTATAGATTCACCAGACTGATTAAAACTGTGAATTTGTAAGTTTGTTTGAGTGATTAATTACAAGATCTGGCTCTTAAAAGTTATTTGTTTGTGAACTGGACTATGCTAGTCAAGTTTTCTTACTGTTGAGTGAAGCCAGTAAAGACAACGCTATATAAAAACATTTTGTCTTGACATTATTTTGTGGTATGCAGGCGTAACTGCAAGCTCACAATATAATTTATTTTGTTGTGATGCTGTAAATTCAGCAAAGCGTGTTAGGAAACTGCACTCTGGGTATTTATTCACAGGTAACCATTGCTGATGTTAAAAGCACTGATATTGTCTTTGCAGATGGTTGACTCAGAAAGGCACCAAACAAAGGAAGATCAACGAATGGCTGGGTATAAAGAACGAATCAGAGGAGTAAGTTCTGTTCAGTTTGTCCTTAGATAATGTTTTCAAATAGAAATCTGAATTTGTATGAAGCCAGACCCAGGTCCATTGGTCCTTTTGGGATACCCACAGAACTCCCTGAACTTGACTTAACATTAGATTTTGAACATTTAAACATGGACTGACTGTCTGCTTTTAAAATCATTAGACAAAAGTACTAAAATAAAAAAAGGTTTTACCACAAAACAATGTTGAAACCATGTCAAATATTAAATTGAAAGATCTTACATTGTATTTTAAAGAGATGTAATAGTGGATTTGTTTATTGTTTGTCTTTGTATGTTAAACTACTGTTTTTACCACAAAAATAGACGTTGGTGATGACATGGCATAAAAAATTCAATAAACAGCAAGCAGGAATGTTAAATAATATATTCATTAATAAAACAAAATCGTGATATTTTGGGCAGGTACATCAAATATAGAAAATCATTCCTTTAGAATGATCAGAGTAATCATTCCTTTCAGCTTGTATTCTCTGTTGGATGACGATGACGATCAAGCACATCATGACGAGTGTACCTGGTACGTTGGGGACATCAAGCGCACACAGGCGGAGGATCTCCTGAGAGGCAAACGAGACGGCACCTTCCTCATCAGAGAGAGCCAGACCCAGAAGGGCTCCTTCGCCTGCTCTGTAGTGTGAGTTACTGAAGCACTTCCATATTCACCACATCCAGCATCACATTTGCTGCAGCTATAGTTTGCATCCTATTCAGAACCGGTTCCTTTTTTAAAAAATAATGGAACTGAATGGCATTGATAATCAAATCGTAACACCGAATCTAGAGCGCAAAACATTCAGTGTGACCAGTGTAATCTCATAACAAAACAAACGATTCTAATGAACCAGTTCCTTTTACTAATTCAGAAACCATACATCCTGTATAGTCCAACTCCCCCCAAAAAAAGACTTGTGGTCCAGTTTGTGATTTCTTTGTATTATTGTTTAATATTATTGGATTACATACAGTCTCTAAAAAGACATTAAAAGAGTGTGTGTAAATGCACATTTTTTATGAAATTTGCATGGAATGTTTTAAATGTATTTCCGCTGGTCCTTTAAAAAAAGTCAGTTTGATCAAACTGAAGGCCATAAAACGTCTGAAATATCTTAAATGGTAAAATAAAATCATTTTAAGAGGTTAAATTTGGGGATTGAAAAACAGGAATCATGATATGTTCTCATGTGATTATTCAACTTCAGAAAGCTTTGATAAAGGCTTAAATAAATGTGAGAGCTGCACATTTCAAAGTCAGAATGCACATTCTACAGGCTGACGCTTTCAGAACAGTTCACAAACAATGATTACTGTGCATTTGTGCCAAGCGATTGCTTATGGTCTTGATGAATTACTACAATGTTTACTTCATGATGCTTATATTATAATATGTTGTAGATGGTTGAAAGAGCACATCTTTTATTTCCCTCACCTTTTTGAATGAGCAGCTAGTAAATAGTGATAAGTAGAAAATAGACATTCCAAAATAAGAGTCCCTTTGCATTTTAGGCTTGTTTATAATTGAAAGACTCGCATCTTTTTTTAGGATATTATTGGTGTTTTGGTTACACAGTAAACTGTATCTGGCATTTTAATTAAGCATAAACTTTTGTAGCTTCTCTCTGGGCCGCCCCATCACAGGAAGGAAAGAGTAAAAATATTATTTAACACATTCAGTATTTAGATTTTACTGGTTTCAGTTACTAGTTTTTATTGCCTTTTTATTCTTTAAACATTATTGGCAAAATTCAATATGGATCAACCTCTAATGTACAGTATATTGATATATTAGTACAAACCAATTTCAATACATATATGGATATTTTAAATAAAACAAGTCATAAGTATTATAAACTTGCAGTTACCCTGTTTTGCAATCTTAGATACATCTTTTCTTTTGAGATTCTAATGGTTTGTTCTAAATGGACATGCAAGTCTTAAAAAAGGTCTTGAAACTATAACATTTCTTTTTTTCTAAATATTGATTCCTTAAAAGTACTGAAAGACTAGACTAGAACTAGAAGTGTTAAGAGGAACTTGGAACTGGAATTGTCCAATTCTTCACAGTTCTCTTCTCGAGCTGTGGCCTGACATTCTCTTCTTTTCCAACAGCATGGATGGAGAGATCAAACATTGTGTGGTTTACAAGACGGCCACAGGTTTTGGATTTGCTGAGCCTTACAACCTTTACGGTTCCTTGAAAGACTTGGTCCTGCACTACAAACACACCTCTCTGGTCCAGCACAACGACACACTGAATGTAACCCTGGCCTATCCGGTCCTCGCACAGCAGCCTAGATGAGCACCGCCACACGAGACGGCCCAGGACACACATATAAAGCATGATTAAGCACATTATACGGAGCAAACTATACTAACACCAAACTTTTATGTTTATCGTAGAGAACAGATAAGCACAGTATATTATCGTAAGTAAACGTATGGCTTTTTTTGTAAGCCCATGGTTTTTTTTCCGTATCAGTCAAAGTCAGCTGCAGTAATTACGGTAAAATCACAGCTACTCTGTAATTGTTGTCCCAACACAAGAGAGAGGAAAGTGAGGAGAGGAAAGTGTCATGTTATTCCATGAAAGCTCGAACTAGTGTTGTAGTCCTGGATATTTTCGATGAGGACACGGGCCAGGGACGAGATGAGATGAGGAATTAACCGAAAGTTGCAGCTGTTGATAATCAATCTTTTAGCTGTTATGTCACTGTGTAATTGTTTGGTAGTTCACTTCTGCCAACCATATGAATAGATTCCTCTTTATGTCAGTTGTCCTATAGAAGATGTGAAACAAACCTTTTTTTATTTTTTTTATTATTATTATATCAGACATGTTCGAGGGACACTGAAGTCCTTTTAGCTTCTATTCTGCGACTTTAAAGCTAGTCGTCATGGTCAGAATAAATAGCCATCAACAATTATGTGCTTTTCTTTGAGATATTACACCACACAGTTGGAAGTCTGGCATCTTAATGGTTTCTGTGGGCTGGTATTGGTGCTTCCTGGTGCTTTAATTTTTGACTCTTGTAACGTGAGAGTGATGCATAGCTATAGAGAACTGTTAAGATCCAGAACAAAGGTGATCCCAAAGCAACAACGCGCACAGGAGCTTCCACTCGCTTAGAAAGGTTATTCAATGTGCACAAGCAAAATGGTACGGAAAACCCTCTATGCACCAAGAGCTTGTAACACTCTAAAGAGAAAGGAAAAATTGAAATCGCATCATATGACCCCTTTAAACTAGGATATGATTACAGATTTTCGAGGAAATTATCAGGTGGAATATGTTATGTTTGTAATAGGAAATGAGTCCTGTTTGTTGGGCATTTTGTAACTGTACACCCCTAAGTGTTTCATCCTGTGACCTCGGCTTTGCTGTGACTCGTATAGTCAGATGAGACATTGTTCTGAACATCATACAGTCAGCTGGATGAAGAAACATATATTTAGTGAGTGATGATTAAATGCTTTTTAGCAAGAACCTGAGCAATTTTGTGCTTGCTTACTAAGAAAGTATAATTAAATGAGACATACTTTGAGAGGAAGTGGTTTAAAAGTGCCTTCTGCCCATGTGTCCTGGAGGAGCTTTCCTGTGATTGGGGCGGTACAGAATGCTTCACTTCCATAGATTATATATATATTATATACTCCTTGAGCCCTACAGCCAAGTTGAGCAAGTGCTAACTTGCTTATCAAATGCTTTCAAAGCACAACTACACGATTTTTTTAATTGAAAAAAGGAGGGTCATCTCATCAAACGCATTCTGTTATATACTTTCAAATAAAACACTTTCTAATTACAGGTCTGTTGGGAGTATCAAGATGATGAATGAAAGGACCTCTTATTTGTAATGTTTAACATTAGCTTTTAATGAGGTTTGGTCTTAACCAGTATGCACTTTCATGGATGTCAGTTCATTTGAGGTACTTTTTTAACAACAGGAGTAATTTCATCCATTTTACAAGGTTAGTGTTTAGGCCTGTTTACACCAAGACAAACATTCATTGTGATAAACATTTGAATTTGATGAAACGGCTGATAATGGATCTGATCAGACTGATGCAAACATTTGCATGCCGTCAACGTGACATTTTTTTAAATTTTTTTTTAACGGATAGGTGTTCTTAAGGAATAGTTCACCCAAAAATGAAAAAGAAAAAAAAAGTCATTATTTACTCACCATCATGTTGTTCCAAAAATACCTGAATTTATTTCTTCTGTTGAACACAAAAGAATATATTTTGAAGAATGTTTGTAACCAAACATTTGCTGGTAGCCTTTGAGTTACATGGTATTTTTTTACTATATACTATGGAAGTCAATGGCTGCCATTAGCTGTTTGGTTACTAGCATTTTGTATTCAACAGAAGAAAGAAAATCATACAGGCTTAGAACAAGAGGGTGACTAAATGATGACAGAATTTTGCTTTGGGTGAACTATATCCCTTTATACCAACCAATAAGATTCAGGCTTTTTAGTCACATGCCCAGAGCCACTGCTGTTACATAAAACTAATTTGTTGGCACTTACAGACAATAGTGTCTGTAGCACAGCAGGGTTTTTTCTTGCTTTTCCATAAACGCCACCTACTGTCAGGGAGAGAAATTGCATTTTCATTCAGCACTTGTTCCGTTTTTTTACGCATTTGGTCTAAATAGACAAATTGAAAGCAAAAATTGGGCCGCATTTTTGTTCCAATCAAGGAATTCATCTTGGTATAAACAGGCTTTTTTTATTAAGGCTGCGTTTTAACCGAAAAAGAAAAAAAAACGTAAATACACTACATCAGTTTTTTCTAGAAAGCTAGTTGATTTAAAAGTGAGGTTTTCAAAGTTAGAATTAAAACGTAATTAAAACCTAGAAATTTTAAACTAGCCTGAATCATTTGCTTTCGACATCCTCCTTTTAGATTGATTCTTTTTTGTTTATAAATCTGCCACAAACATTAAAATGAGGCAGGCTTTTGTTTCATAAGCTTGTTTATTGGTATACTCCGGTTTGTTTTGTTATATTGATAGGATGATGTTGTTTTGCTATGATGGTGTGGAGTGGAGCGACAACAGAGACACTGGTTATGATTCCTTGAACGTTCTGACTGACAGACATCAGGTCACTGAGAGCACAGAGAATGAGCCAGATGTGACAAGTTTATGTGAGATAAAGCAGTGGAGTAAAAGCCTTTAAATGCACTATACAAGCACATCTTGAGGTGATTTTGAGTGACAATTAATGAAGCTTGACAGCCTTTATGAGCAACTGAAATTACGCAGGTAAATTACGCATTTTAGTGACAGGCCTGTAGTGTCAGTGTGTTGTGATCGTGCAGAAGTCTGTTCTTTGTCATTTTTTTTCTTCAACTCCTTTTTAAAGAGAGACTAATTGTATGTCTGTTTTTTTTCCCCTCTCATTGTAAGTAATGACCTTACAGATTCAAAGATAAGCTAGCTTGAATATCTTTCTTCCATTCAGTACAGTTACAAATGTTTACAGTATCTAATTAACCAAATAGAAGATGTATTTTCAGACATGCTCTGTCTGGTCCTGAAAGGAGTCTGTTAGACGAGGTTTCTTGTCTTTTTTTGTGCCTCTGTTGTTTTAAACTTGAAGATATTGTTTTCATTTTTTGTTCAACAGTGCTCCCTCACCTCACATATTTTCTTCTGAATAAAAAGGAAGTTTAATATGGTCTGTTAGGTTGCAGCTGTGACCCAGAGCAGGTTTGCCAGCTTTCTTCTTCATTGATTTTTTTTTTTTTCATAGCAGACATATTTTTCTTTTTCAAGTCTCAAGTTACATAGAACAATAAAAGTCCAGATGGAAAGTTTATAATAATTATAGACTGAATTCTAACTTCCTTCTATAGTCTCAGTCAGAGCAAGAACTAAAATTAGTAGTTCTTTTTTCCTCTTCCGTCTTTCGACGACAAGATGTATACTGAAAAGTAAGATACAGCAGGGCCAAATATTTAATAGACATTTGTTTTTGTTCTATTATAACAGAGTATGAAATACATTTTTCATGCATCGTGGTTATGACATAACTATGGAAGCTTAGTTTGTGTCACAATTCTGTCTTTTTTCTGGCACGTCTGAGTGGGAAAAAAAGTTGGAATTGCGAGATATAAAGTCAGACTTGTGAGATATAAACTTGCAATTGTGCGGAAAAAATTCACAATTGTGAGGTAAAAAGTTGGAATTACTTTTTTTTTTTTTTTTCAATGGCGGAAACACAAAACAGAATTTTATATATATAGGTATATATGTATATATTGTGAGTTTATGTCATAATTCTGCATTGTGAGATCTTTTTATCCCATGGTGGAAAAAGCTTTCATACATAACCACTAATTATACTTTACCTCGTTAAACTAAACTAAATGATACCTTTCTGTCTTGTTTCCCCTGAGTGTGTGAAGTAGTCTGTTGAAGATAATGCAGTGCCATCAGACATGGAGGACGGGGAGCACTGTTTGTTACCCAGTACAGTTCTATTGGATGCGTGTGTGCACAAACTTTATGTACATACTTTTATTTCCTTTTACTACTTCTGTTCTCTCCAATCTGTTTTTGGGTGCAGATTTTTCTGTGTACAGTTTGCATCAGTGTTGTTTGTCTTTCAAACAGGTACATAAGCATTACAGAGATACGGCTCTTTAATAGGTAGATGGAATTATTTTTAAGACAATAAAAAGATGGGTCTATTGCACCTTCTTGTCTGTTGTCATCACTTTGATCTTGTGATGTGTGATGTGACCCGAACAACTGTTGCTTTTACAGCGAATGTCATGCTGAAGCAGCAGAAAGTACCGTGACCCAGAACTTTGTTGTGTCAGTTGTCTTTTGACAAACACTTTGGCGTGTGCCCTTACATTACCTGAGGGTGGAAAAATCTGAGCAACTATAGCGCCGACCTAGAGAATGTTTCATTGTTTGACCTACAGCTGGATCAGGATAGTTTTAAATCTTGAAATATGCTGCCCTTATAATAGCTGTTGTTTGACGCACATATAAAGTGAATGTTCCTTGTTCCGTCTGTTCATGAATTAACCTATTTATTCCCACAAATTCCCCAGTGAAGAGAAATTTTCGCCAATTGCATAGTTAAATGAAACAACCCGCATGCCTTGAAAAAACAAGTTAGTGCATGTGTGTGTTATATTGTGTTTTTAATTCACAATTGGAACTAGTGGTGAAAAACAAAGTGAAAAATTACTCACTTGGTCATTAAGAAGAAATTATTGAATTTATTATTTTAAAATTATTATTTTAAAGAAGCAGTTCACTTCCAGAATGAAAATTCTGCCATCGTTTACTCACCCTCCACTTGCTCCAAACCTGTATCAGTTTCTTTCTTCTGTTGAACACAAAAGACGACATTTTGAAAAATGTTGGTATCCGAACAGTTGATGGGCACCATTGGCTTTTTTTTCATACTATGGAAGTCAAATTTAAATATTTAAAAATGCTTAAAAATGTATTTTTTTTTTTTTTTTTTTCCAATTTTTTTTTTTTTCCCCCCCGTTTTTTTTGGGGGGGGGGGGCATCAAAGAAGGCGGACGCCCGATTACTGTGAACGAAGCTGATCGTTTCCCTTTATTCTCGTCTTTATTAGGTGCTGGAACAATGCATGAAGTTTAACGTAACAAAGCCCAACGCTGCCCCGGTCAATGTGAGCCTGTACTATGAGTCTCTGTGTCCTGGATGCAGACAGTTTCTTGTATTTCAGCTCGTGCCAACCTTCATTATGTTGCAGGACATCATGGGTATTGATTTGGTTCCATATGGAAATGCACAGGTATATTTACACTCCCAAGTGTTGCTCAGACAGTTTACCCCAGTACAGACAGACATCACATTACTTCTATTTACATATTATATGACTAGCATCTATATCGCTATTTGCACTTAACAATGTGTAAACGAGATATTTACTTTTGTTCACAACTTGTAAACAGTATTAACATAATTTGCACTGTGCAAATAGCTACCAATTTCTTTTACACACAGTAAAAGTCAAACTAATAAGTTAAATTAATGTTAAAATGCTGATCGTAATGTTTTCGCAATAGGAGAAAGAAGATCAAGGGAAGTACATCTTCACTTGTCAGCATGGAGAGGATGAATGTCTAGGTAACATGATTGAGGTGAGGTTTTGCCATTTATTTCACCCCTAAAGCTTTTTAAAGCAGATTGATGTTAATATTGGAGGCATCTTGTTTGAATTTGAAATGCAGGTATTATAATTGTAGTCTTTTCTATCAGACCTGCTTGTTGAGTATGTTAGGAATAAATGCTTTTCCAGTAATTTTATGCATGGAGTCAGGAGTAGATGTGCTGAAAGCTGCCCAGCCTGTAAGTATTTTACCTTCTCTTATTTTATTTATTATTTATTGTAAACCCCGATGCAATGCAATGCTAATCTGTACCTCTTATCTCAGTGTCTCGGAGTCTACTTTCCTGATACAAAGTGGGATTCAGTCATGAATTGTGTGAAGGGAGATGAGGGCAATAAATTAATGCATCAAAATGCAGTGAAAACAAATGCTCTGAAACCTCCTCATGAATATGTGCCTTGGATAACTGTTAATGGAGTAAGGATACGTATTTGTTTATTTACAAGGAAAATGTTTTTTTGTTCAGTATTTCCTGGTGATTAAATGGCACATTGTTGTTCCTGCAGGAACACACAGATGCTCTTCAGGATAAAGCGATGGATTCTCTCTTCAATCTTGTGTGCAGTTTGTACAAGGTTTGTTTGTAAACCTGTTAGTGTTTATGATCATTTTAGTGTTTTATCTCATCAATGAAGAGTCCATTACATGATGTCTTCATTCTTTGTGTTCATACAGGGTGACAAACCACCTGCTTGTGGTCAAGGGTTGAAGAAGAAAACCAACAGTTACTGCATGAACTAATCAATCACTACGATAACAGTGCTACTCATGTCAAGAATGGAGAAAATGCATGAAACATAAGCGAAAACATGCTGCAGTGTTTTGTTGTTATCTTTTTATGTTTGTATGTACATGAAACCCTAATTTTGTACGTGGTTTTCAGCTGCAAATGACATCTGGCGACAAGACCGTATGTTTATCCAGTCACATTTTAAAACTGTTTTGTATGCATAAACAAAATTAAAAAAGCAAATTTCCATCACCTTTGCATTTTTCTTAGTTTTAATTTACTTGTTGTGTTAATGTTTTTTAAGAAATCAGTCAATGCTAAAGTGGACTTTATTCAAGAGAAATGCTTCCTCAGTGGTTTCACATTTTTGCTTATTAACCGAGTCCTACATTATTTTGACCTACAAAGTGAAAATACTTTGGGTTTATAAATATAACAGCTAACGTTAATATAAAAACTATTAATAAAGAGTAGGCACTCGAAAATCAAGAAATTATGAGCTGTAATCCGTGTTCAAACGGGAGGAAAATATTGATGGGTCAAACTGATGTAACGTTTTGCGCAACCAAGACGCAATCTTGATGTTCTTGAAGGCAAAGCCATCACGCGTGTGACTAGTCACGGGCTAATGCAAGCTCCGCTGGGTCATTATGAATTAAAGCTAAAGATCTAAATGTGTTAGAGATCTAATTGCAGCCGAACTGGACAATTTGGGGATATCGGAACAACTCTACGTTTTATCTATCTATCTATCTATCTGAGAGTATTAAGGAAGATGCATTCCTTTCCATTTTAAGTTAGTAAAACTTCTCAGTATTTAAACATATTTTTGGGTACCTTACGCCATATATAAACGGACAGAAGTGGCGAATGAAGTCGTCAAGCGTTGATCGATCGGAAACTTGACAGGAATTTAAGTTAAATCGAGCTAAACATGATATCTCGTCAGAGTAAGGATTTTCTCATAAGGATCGCCGGTTACTGGAAGCCGCTTTTCAGAGGCAGATTTCTGATCGTGACGAACACGGTGAGCAGCGGAGGGATGTTGGCGGCGGGCGATTTCATCCAGCAGACACGAGAGAGACGGAGGACGCCCGGCCGAACACGTGACTGGTCGCGTACAGGTGACAACAAAACTAATTGTTACCAAAAACGTTTGGCTTGTTAAAAAATGAGCTAATCTTTGTAATTTCTGTGCCATTGGGTAGTTACTTAAAACGTTTTCTTTCTTTTTTTTATTTTTTATGGTATCGTGTGAATATCCTGTCATAAAAAGTAACGCGAGATTTATGAACTCTCGCGGTGTTGCGCCCCCATAGGTTGTATGTTTGCCGTCGGATGCTCTATGGGTCCCTTCATGCACTACTGGTACCTGTGGCTCGACAAATACTTTGTAGGCAATGGCATCAGTAATGTCTGCAAGAAAGTGCTTACTGATCAGCTGGTCGCATCGCCAGCACTGGGGGCCTGGTACTTTCTAGGTAAAACCCATTTTCTATTTGAATATATTTTAAAATGTTAGCATGATTTCTGACGGATCGTGTGACACTGAAGACTAGAGTAATGACTGCTGAAAATTCAGATTTGCCATCACGTTACATTTTAAAATATATTAAAATAAAAATGTAGGCTATTTTAAATTGCAATAATATTTCACAGTATTACTGTTTTTAATGTATTTTTAATCAAATAAATACAGAATTGGTGAGATTTCTTTCAAAACATCAAAATCTTTATTCGTGTAGTGTACATTTTACAGTAGGAGACTTAATGATATTTAAGATTTATAATGTAAAAAAAAAATTAAGTATGAATATTACACCTGCTTGTTTATTTATTTATTTATGGAGGTATGGGTATGATGGAGGGTCACACTTTGTCTGAGGCACAAGCAGAATTCAGAGACAAATTCTGGGAGTTTTACAAGGTAGGTTGCACTGTTAAGCATCTGTCCTTAGTTCAACCAAATGACTTGAGTTCATAGCTGACAACGTTTCATAACATACTTCTTTTTAGGCAGATTGGTGTGTTTGGCCAGCAGCTCAAATGGTAAACTTCTACTTCTTGCCACCCAAGTTTCGTGTCCTTTATGTGAATATAATTACCCTGGGATGGGACACTTACCTCTCCTACCTCAAACACAGTAAGAAAGGTTGCATCTGCCACATAACACATGGCATCACGTAATAATACATTTGTGAGAATTACTTAACAATATTACTTAATTAATAATATAGTCTTGGTTTATTTAACTTCTGGCAAGATAAAAATTAAAGTGAGACTCTCTCCTCCTGGGTGTAAGCTTCCTTGTAACAGGAGATAAATGACATTTGTGTTTTTCCAGGAGACCAAGTAGAAGCCACAAAAGAAGCTGAGTGAACTGCCTGAAGATGTCTGAAGAAAGAGAATATTAAAAAACACAGCTTCAATCACGATAAAAATAATTAAATCTTATTATTCAAGACTGTTAATGGACAGCTTTTTGTTTTTAAATTTCACATAATATAATTCATATAATTTTATCCCGTAATACCAGGTACATTGGCAAAATAAATAAGGTTACTTGCCATTGGTATTTTGTTTTTTAATCATTTAAAAAGTATTGAAAAATCTATTTGTCCAAAATCTGTGTATTTTTGACATGTGAAGGGCAGTTTATAAAATCACACTGTTTACATTATATTCTTATAATAGTATAGAATACAGTTTTTATAGTAATCTATAGTTATAGTTATCATGCTATTAATCACAGTAATTGCTGATATTATTTTCATATACAGTACATTGGAGAAATGCTGTAACGGATGCTGCATAGGCAGTAATGTTACTATTGATTGTTACTATTGCTATTATGTTCATAAATTGCCTTAACACGTACATTTTAGCCTAATTAATTTTTTTTTTTTTTGATGATGATAAATTTATCCGTTGGATAGAACTTTTGATGTCTGCTTTGTCATTATGTGAAACTACTTGAATTTATGATTATTTAATGGAAGAAAATAAAATAATTTTTTGTGTTGAATATTACGATAAATTAGAGTCAGATTTAACTCTATATTTATGCATTATAACTTGAACTTTGAGGTTGAATCTAAATTTCAAAGAGCACTTTTATTCATCTATCAAGGCATCTGTCTTTCAGTGGTGTATGACAGTTTTTGACGGCACGTGATCTGCTCTGCTGTCAGCAGCACAGACAAACCTGCTGAGTGAGAGTGACAGGATGCTGCTCATATTCATAGGGGCTCCCAAACTGTGATAAAACAGGTGTTCTGACAGGATGTTCTCACAAACCATTTGCTCTTGAGCTATAAAGGTTACTTACCACAGGCTTGGAAAACAACCTTTATTAATTTTTTTATTTTTATTTTTTGGAAGAGGCCAGAATGCAACTCTCCTGGATCGAAGATGTGCTTCAAAAATATATTTGTGAAATTACTTTTTTTTTTTTTTTTTAAAGAAAAACACAATACATCTTACCAGATCTTCTCAGTTTTAGTGGTAAGTCTTATTTGCTGCACATTCGAACCATCATTATTAAAATAGTAGTTTTGATTATTATATTGATTGGCCTATTTATTGACTGATGCTTAGTGTTTCTTATTATCTTTATATTATTTAACTCTATAGTCCTGTAGAAAGTATTTTTTTCAGGCACCTGAAAAAGTCGAGTTTCTACTTTCTGAATAGATTTATTGTTATTTATCATGAAGCGTGTATTTTCAGAGTTGCCTCCCATTTCAACAATATGAAGAGAAGTTCTTCTTTGAAGTCTTTCTGGACATCAGAGGTGGGTTATATCAGTTCATCAGGCTCACAGTCATCCTGTCTGCTTTGATTCTCAATAGATTCACTGTGACTATGCAGATCACCAATTTAAGTGAAAAGTGAAAGTGACGTGTGGCCAAGTATGGTAACCCATACTCAGAATTTGTGCTCTGCATTTAACCCATCCAAGTGCACAGAGTGGGCAGCCATTTTTGCTGCTGCACCCAAGGAACAGTTGGGGTTTCAGTGCCTTTCTCAAGGGCACCTCAGTCGTGGGTAATGCGGGTGGAGGAGAGAGCTGTACATTCACTCCCCCCTCCTACAATCCCTGCTGGTACTAAGACTCAAACCCACGACTTTTGGGTTACAAGTCCGACTCTCTAACCATTAGGCTACGACTGCCCCCATACTAAGTCATTGAAGTGCACCCTAAGATTTCTATCAACAGGTATTATATGATATTATTTAATTGGAAAAAAAAAACTAAAAGGAAATACCTTTACTTGGCTATTTGACGTCATATATTATTATTATTATATATGTTACCTTAATAGTAATTATGTCAACATTAGCCTACACCTGTCTTCTGTGCTGTTCTAGACAGAGATCATGTATTGGTGCAGATTAAATACCTTCTCTATTTAATTCAGAGAGAATGGGACCCTGTGAACCAGAAGGGCCTGCACGGATCCAAATCCATGCCTGGTCACCGTACAGTTAAGAGGACATTTTCAGGGGTCCTTCAGCTTCCCCGTCTGTCCCGCCGACTTTCGGCTCAGGGAGATTCAGAGAACACACCCCGCAAGGCCACCTTCTCCCTCGGCATCCCCAATGGCCTGGAGTCCGAGACTTTTCAAAGTTCATGGTAAGCTGCTCTTTTTGTTTTCTAAAGACACTTTAGATGACTTAATCTTAAGCAGTGATTTTACGAAAGGTTTCTTAATTTTGGGTAGCTTTGTACAGTTTGCAAAGAATGAGGAAAACCATGCAATCTACTTATAAACTTAGTGTATATTCTTAAACTTGGACCTCATTATTGAAGCACAAATTCAAGCACCAAAAGCAGCCCACATTCTGAGTCTCTAAGTTCTCTTTAATTAAAAAATATGCATTTTCATTCATTCATAGGCTATATGGTTGCAATAACATTTTAGTTACAAATTTTGCCATTGTTTTGAAAAAAATGCTTTATTGACTGGCATTTCAGACTTTCAGTTATGCTTTCAAATTTTATGTCATATAGTCATGTATGTAGGCTATGTAATTTCACAGTATATCCACCTAAATTACTACACCACTCGTGGTGTCACAATTCTATAATGGTGCAATTTACTTAGGCTGATAGTTTGTGTGTAACACATGACATTTTTTTTTGTATGACATTAAAATTATTTTTAGAATAAATGTACATAAATAGGTTAAGCAAAACGTGATTATTTATGAGAACCTTTTATACACCTTTTATACATATACTTAACTGCAGACACGGAAATGACATTCACTATGTGGTACAACACAAATATTTTAGTGTCCCTTATTCTGTCCCTTATTTTTCTATAAAGAATCACAATTGTCCCTTATTTTCCTTTACTGAAGTTGTCAACCCTACACATGACCGTTCGTCATGTACCTGTTTTCAAAAGAGTGGCTTCATGTCAGCAACTTTAGATGGAGACGGAGCACTCACTGTTGTGCATGTTGTTTCGTGACTAATATAAGCAATAAAGACTTCTAATTTCATTAAATGTACAGTGAGCTACATCAGTACTGTAATAATAGTTGTTACATGTCTATATACTGTATACTTAAATTTTTCAATAATTGATGTAGTTTCCGGAGCCAGAAATTGACGTTTTGCACAGAGACAGAAGAGGGAGCTATTGTTCCCTAAAGACCAGAAAAATAACTCTTGACAATAAAACAGTCAAGACAAAACGTCATAAACAGACTTAGTAAATGTGCAGCTACACATGAACTTTGAACACATGAACTAAGTTAAGTTTTGTTTATACTGCCATAAAACGTTAGCAATACCTAGGATTAAAACTTGATGCATTTTTACTCACATTACAGTGGCTTTCAAAATGTATTTAAAATGTCTAAACTGTCACACTTAAAAAGTCTGAATGTCACTGCACACATAACAAAACACCAAACCAAGCAAAAAAATAAACCCAACAGGGTTACCACAGGGTGTAGTTTATCACCTTAGCTATGAAAATGATTCACTAATGTCTGATGAGATTGAAGTATTAATTTCCTTTTTAGGGAAAAAAAAATCTTACTGACCACAAACTTCTAAACGCTAGTGTAGGCTATATGTGACCCTGGACCACAAAACCAGTCTTAAGTCGCTGGGGTATATTTGTAGCAATAGCCAAAAATACATTGTATGTGTCAAAATTATTGATTTTTCTTTTATGCCAAAATCATTAGGATATTAAGTAAAGATCATGTTCCATGAAGATATTTTGTAAATTTCCTACTGTAAATATATTGAAACTTAATTTTTGATTAGTAATATGCATTGCTAAGAACTTCATTTGGACAACTTTAAAGGCGATTTTCTCAATATTTCGATTTTTTTTGCACCCTCAGATTCCAGATTTTCAAATAGTTGTATCTCGGCCAAATATTGTCCTATCCTAACAAACCATACATTAATGGGAAGCTTATTTATTCAGCTTTCAGATGATGTATAAATCTCAATTTCAAAAAATTGACCCTTATGACTGGTTTTGTGGTCCAGGGTCACATATTGTTTTAAAAAATGGAAACCTGAAAAAAATTCTAATTAAGAGTTGTAATTTCTATTATAATGTTTGAATAAAGGATTTAATGTTTTGTTTTGTAGTGCAACAGACATTTTTAAGTGTCTCTAAAGTATTCAAAACCTTTTTCGGGGCCACTGCATGCGTATTGTTTTTGCATGCACAACTCATCCAGCAGTCAGAGGATCACAGGGAACCTTTTCCCCTCTGATAATCAAAGCCCATGGGGCCCGTGATAGAGGGCCATAGTGACATGAGCCATGCTCTCTGTCTGACTTTATCTGACTTTGCTTTTTATAGTCAGAGCTTTCATGTGACTTCTCCTGGTAAACCTGGAGCATGTGAAAGGCATATGCATTTCTTGGAGGAAATCTGAACGCCGTGATCAGCTCGGTGTTGTTCTGCTGGTTTGTTGGCTTTTCTGCACACCAGGGGACTGGAACGGGAAGTCATTATAGACCAGTAAACACTGGACCTCGCACACTAATAGTCTTAATGCGGAGGTGGGGCCACTTTGTGAGCTCTATCATGGAGTCCTCTCATTGTAAATCACACTGCCATATTTAGTCTGTTGGAGGGAAGTCTACCTAGTTATGTAAACAAGGCGAGTTCACGAGGGGAGATGTTCCATTGCTATGATGGCTGGCTCCATTAATGCGCCTGTGATCTCTGAAGCAAGGTTGGATTTCTCAGCTCTAGTGAAGGGTGAGAGATGTAGACTGTGGTTTTTGTGTTGAGACAGCAGTGTGAGTGAGCGACCCATGCCACGACTAGACACTTGTTTTGCCAGTTGTGCAGACACAGGATCTCTGCTGTCATGAGCGACATGCTCTCAGAGAGTTTGGAAGAGGAGAGACCTCAGAGGCCCTCGCATCTCAAGATGAAGGGAAACTCTCCCACTGGCTCCCCCAAAATGTCTCCGCGGGACTCTCCTCGGAGTTCGCCCCGCAACTCGCCTCTGCTCTTCCGCAGACTGATGATGAACCGCAGCATTGCTTTGCAGAGACGCTTCACTTTGGCTCACACTCCCAGGTAGGATCCGAATCGCTCTGAATCGTTCATTTAGCCTCTTACCGGGAGGCTTGGCTTCAAAAACACACACAGGAGTCTTGTGGCGCAGGCATTTACGTAACAACATATCACAAGGCAAATTTTGTGGCTGCCTGAGACATTCGCCCCCCGTCCAAAGTTTGTATTGATGCTAACACTTCTAGCTACAATAATAATCACTATAATCAAGGAGGTGGTTTGTCTGCTGTGTGGAAGCATAAAAAGATGTCTTTGTTTGGGAGGATGTCTTGACCTGAAATGGTTATTGTCAGCCTATCCTAACAGCAATCAAATGAACTGCTTTTTATCCATGTAGTTATACTGGTTCTGTCT